TGTTAGTTCCTGTTACACAGCAGTGATTCACGATTTCTATACATTTCAAAACGATCACCACACTGAGTCTAGTTCTGATCTGTCACCACACAAAGGTGTTCCGTAGGAATTGACTGTATTCCCCACACTGTGCATCTCACACCTGTGACTCCTTTGTTTTGCAACTGGAAGTCTGTACCTCTTAATCTCCCTCACTATTTCTCTCCTCTGCCCACCTCCCTCCCCTCTGACAACCATCTGTTCGTTCTCTGTGTCTGTAACTCTGTTTCTGTTTTGTTATGTTTGTTCGTTTTGTTTTTTAGATTCCACATATAAGCAAAATTATACAGTATTTGTCTTTGTCTGACTTATTTCACTTAGCAAAATATCCTTTTGGCAAATGGCAAGATTTCATTCTTTTTTATGGCTGAGTAATATTCCATTATATATATATACACATACACACACACACCCTCACCCACACACCGCATCTTATTTATCCGTTCATCTGTTGATGACCACTTGGGTTTCTCCCATAACTTGACTATTGTAAATAATGCTGCGATAAACGTAGGGGTGCGTATATCTTCTCTAATTAGTGTTCTTTTTCTTTAGATAAATACCCAGGAGTTGAATTCCTGGATCACGTGGATATTTAATTCTTAAAGGAATCTCCATACTGTTCTCCATAGTGGCTGTACCAATTTACATCCCTACCAACAGTGTAGGAGGGTTCCCTTTTCTTCACATTCTCACCCACACTTGACAGTTGTTGTATTTTTGATAATAGCCATTCTGACAGGTGTGAGGTGATATCTCATTGTGGCTTTTTAAAAAAAATCTCATTCTGGTTTTGATTTGCATTTCTCTGATGATTAGTGACGTTGAGCATCTTTTCACGTGTCTCCTGACCATCTACATGTCTTCTTTGGGAAAGTGTCTATTCAGATCCCCTGCCCGTTTTCCAATTGGGTTGTTTGTTTTTTTGCTATTGAGTTGTATAAGTTCTTTGTATATTTTGGATATTAACCCCTTATTGGATATTTTGTTTGCTAATATCTTCTCCCCGTCAGTAGGCAGTCTTTTCCTTTTGTTGATAGTTTTCTTTGTTGTGCACAAGCTTTTTAGTTTGATGTGGCCCCAATCCGTCTCTTTTTGCTTTTATTTCTCTTGCCTGAGCAGACATATCCAAAAAAAATTACTAAGACCGATATCAAGGCGCATACTGCCTATGTTTTCTCTTAGAATTTTTATGTTTTTAAGTCTTACACTTAAATCTTTAATCCATTTTGAGTTTATTTTTGTATATGGTGTAAGAAAGTGCTCCAATTTGATTCTTTTCCATGTGCTGAATAGCTGTCCAGTTTTCCCAAGACCATTTATTGAAGAGGTTATCTTTTCTCCATTGTATATTCTTGCCTCCCTGTCAAAGATTGATTGCCCACATAGGGTTTATTTCTGGGCTCTGTACTCTGTTCCATTGATCTATGTCTCTTTTTGTGCCAGTACCATACTGTTTTGATTACTGTAGCTTTGTCGTATAGTTTGAAATCAGGGCGTGTGATACCTCCAGCTTTGTTCCTCTTTCTCAAGATTGTTTTGGCTATTTGGGGTCTTTCATGTTTCCATAGAGATTTTAGGATTATTTGTTCTAGTTCTGTGAAAAATGTCATTGGTATTTTCATAGGGATTGCACTGAATCTGTAGATATCCTTGGGTAGAATGGACATTTTAATAATGTTAATTCTTCCAATCCATGAACACAGTGTACCTTTCCATCTGTTTGTGTTGTCTTCTGAAATTCTTTTATGAGTGTCTTCTAGTTTTCCAAGTACACGTGTTGTTATCTCCTTAGTTAGATTTATTCCTAGGTATTTTATTCTTTTTGATGTAATTGTGAATAGGATCGTTTCCTTAATTTCTCTTTCTGATAGTTTGTTGTTAGAATATAGAAATGCAACAGATTTCTGTATATTAATTTTGTATTCTGCAACATCACTGAATTTATTGATGAGCTCTGCTGGTTTTTTGGTGGCATCTTTAGGATTTTCTATGTATAGCATCATGTCATCTGCAAGCAGTGATAGTTTTACTTCTTCCTTTCCAATTTGCATGGCTCTTCTTTCTTTTTCTCATCTGATTGCTCTGGCTAGGACTTCCAATACCATGTTGAATGAAAGTGGTGAGATTGGGCATCCTTGAATTGTTCCTGATCTTAGAGGAAATGCTTCCATTTGAGTATGATGGTAGCTGTGGGTTTGTCATATATGGCTTTTATTATGTTGAGATATGTTCCCTCTATACCCACTTTGGTGAGGGTAATGAGGTTTCACGTTGCACTGGTCAGAATGGTCATTATCAAAAAATTTAGAAACAATAAATGCTGGAAAGGGTGTGGTGAAAAGGGAACCCTCTTGCACTGTTGGTAGGAATGAAAATTGATACAGCCACTACGGAGAACAGTATGGAGGTTCCTTAAAAAACTAAAAATAGAGCTACCATATGACCTAGCAATCCCACTACTGGGCATATACCCTGAGAAAACCATAATTCAAAAAGAGTCATGTACCACAATGTAGCACTGCAGCACTATTTACAATAGCCAGGACATGGAAGCAACCTAAGTGTCCATAGACAGATGAATGGATAAAGAAGATGCGGCACATATATACAATGGAATATTACTCAGCCATAAAAAGAAAAGAAATTGAGTTATTTGTAGTGAGGTGGGTGGACCTAGAGTCTGTCATGCAGAGTGAGGTAAGTCAGAAAGAGAAAAACAAATACCATATGCTAACACATATATATGGAATCTTAAAAAAAAAATGGTACTGATGAACCTAGTTGCAGGGCAGGAATAAAGAGGTAGATGTAGAGAATGGACTTGAGGATATGGGGAAGGGGAAGGGTAAGCTTTGACAAAGTGAGAGAGTGGCATGGACATATATACACTACCACATGTAAAATATATAGCTAGTGGGAGGCAGCTGCATAGCACAGGGAGATCGGCTCGGTGCTTTGTGACCGCCTGGAGGGGTGGGATAGGGAGGGTGGGAGGGAGACGCAAGAGGGAGGGGATATGCGGATATATGTATATGTATAGCTGATTCACTTTGTTGTACAACAGAAACTAACACAGCATTGTGAAGCAATTATACTCCAATAAAGATGTGTTAAAACAAATGCCCATGGACTCTCAAAAAATGAATAAATAAAACTCAATAATAAGAGAACCAAATTAAGAGACGGGCAAAAGGTTTGAATAAATACCTCAGCAGAGAAGGACAGAGGGCAAATGAGCACATGAAAAGATGCTCAACATCATGTTATAAGGGAAATGATAATCAAAACCACAGTGAGTTGCCACTGCATACCCACTTGAACGGCTAATATGAAAAAGACTGAGCACACCACATGCCGCTGCGGATGTGGAGCGACTGGAACTCCGCTGCAATGTGGAGAGAACATAAAATGGCATAGCCACTGTAGAAACCAGGTTAGCAGATTCTTAAAAGTTAAAGATACACCCGTCATGTGCCCCAGTCACTTCCCTCCTAGGTATTCACCTCCAACAGAGACTCGTACATGCAGCTCACAGCAGTTTTATCTGTGGACACGGAAGGGTGGGCAGCTCCGTAGGGGCCCCGCTCCTCCGGGTGCCGGGCATCAGCCAGGGCTGGTGATGTGCCTGGCACACGATCATCTCCTCTGGGCCCTACGCTGGGCCCCACGCCGGGTGGCACGAGTGACTCTGGGGGCATCCCTCTTCCTGACTCTGGGGGCATCCCGTGTGGCGCCCTCGGGGCTCCTCCAGTGGCACCTGGCCTGCTGTTTCCCGGCCTCTCCCGCCCGGACCGTGGGGCTGGCATATCTTCACTGACACGTCCAGAACCGAGCGCCTGTCTCCCCAGCCCTCGTCTGCAGCCTCCCCGTTCACAGAGGGCAAACCGCGTTTCCAGGGCTCAGAGTGAGAGCCTTCGTTCACGTGGCCTGGACCCTCTTTCTTCCACAGCACACTTCGGTTCCCAAGGGAATCCTGCTCATTCTTCCTTCGGATGCCTCCAGAACCAGTGCACCTGGCTGAGCCGCACGCTCTGTTAGCCCCGCAGCCTCCAGGGCTCCCCTGGCCCCCCGCCCCCCCGGGCCCCCCCCCCCCCCGCCCCCGCTGCAGCTGCTCCGCCCCGGCCGCCCCTCCGCCTGCTCTTCTCCTGCGGACGCGTGCGCCGCCGGCCGCACCTCCGGGGCCCCACGCTAACGCTGCACTTCCCACGTCTTCCTCACGCCTGGCTCTGCCCACGGCCACTCTGGCTCTCTGAGGCACTTCCTCACCCTGCCTACCGGCCACCCGCCGCCCCAAAGCTGACCGAGGGGCCCAGAGGGAGGCCCGTGTCCACCTCGGCCCCGCCACCTCCCAGGCCCTGAGCGAGGCCGGCACGTGGCCGGTGGGTGCGTGAGTGAACCGCAGCCCCGAGCCCTGGGCTTGTGGTGTGGCGGGCGCCGCTATGCTGCGCACCCAACCTCGACCAGGGGACTCCCGGGAGGGTGGAGGAGTGTGCATGGGCGGCCCGAGCACCGGAGGCCTGGCCGGAGCCCGGGGAGTGGGGCAGACAAGGAGGGGCTCCTGCCAAGGGGCGGGCACCAGGGCAGGCCCCTCAGGCCACGCGGACTCCCAGCGATGCAGGGAGGGCAGTGCCCCCGCGGGGCTGGCCCTGCCTCACCTCCCGGCCGCCCACCTGCTCGGGGCCGTGAGCCCACCTCTGACGCGAGCAGGCAGAGCTGTCTGCCCCGGGCCTGGGCCCTCCAGGGCCTCAGCGCCGAGAGGGGCGCAGCGGGCTCCTCAGGTGAGCACAGGCGAGCTGAGCCGGGAGGAGGGTGCGTGCGGGCTCCCGCTGGGAAGCGCAGGGGCCACCGTGCCCGGGGCGCGGCGGGGCAGCAGGCTTACTTCCTGACACTGGGCTGGGGTTTGCCCCCCACGCAGTTTTGCAAAAGTAAAACCAGAAGACTCGTGGAAGTCAGACAATGACTTGTTTAAAGGTGGGAGAGGGTGGGAGGGCGATTTCGGTGAGAAGGACCTGCTCCTTGGGCGGCAGGCGGCCGCACGAGCGTGGGGGGGCGGCGTCTGAGCGCGGGGGGCACAGAGAGGGGCCAGAACCGAGGGGCAGCGCACACGTTTATTGAGCCGGGACGCGGTGCGGAGACGCCTCCGGCCGGTCCCCACTCTCAGCCCCGAAGACGCCCGGGGCCCAGCATCCCCGCTTCGCCCCGCACCCCAGGTCAGGACCCCGAGCCTTCCTTTCTCCTGCCCTCGGATAAAGGGAGACGTGCACCCTGCCCGGCGCTGACCCGTGTGGCCACGGGAGCCGAGGTCGAGGGACCGGGGAGGGGCAGCTCCCTGCGGCCACAGCTCCTGGGGCTTGGAGGGGACGGCTGCTGGAAGCGCTGTCCAAATGTCAAACCAAGTCTTAAAACAACAGTTACACGGACACTAAGGAACAACGTTTCTACAACGTCACAGATGGGAGTGGCCCCAAAGCATTTAAAATAATGAACACGGCATGCCAACGCGTGAGGAGACGGGCGTAAGTGAAGTTGGAGCAGCGTCGGGGCGGAGCCGGGGGCTCACAGACACAGGTGGAGCGCTGTGGGTGCATCTCTAGGGCACAGACACCTTCTGTAGTAAAGAAACCTCTATATCTGCGAGGGGGTGGGCGGTCTGCACAGGCGAGTGGTGGGGACGTCGGCGGGGTTAGAGCGCGCCCATCCCGGTGACCTCGGACGTCAGCCTGGAAGAGACAAGGGCACAGGGCACAGGTCACCATGTCCTCACAGACGGAGGAGCCCTTAGAGGCGTGCGCCTCCCTCTTCATTGCCACGGACGGTCCTGGTTCACAGCGCAGTGGCCACTAGCTGAGGACCGGGGACCAGAGCCACGGGGCCTTCCTTCCCCGCCACAGGGGCCCATGTACCTGTCACCACATGGGGCGTGACGACAGCCACCAGGACAGGCCCAGGCTGCCACAACTGTTTCTACAGCCACTGCCGGGAGGGGCGTGGGAGTGACCCTGCCAGGGAGAGGGACGCAGGGCCCTTGTGCCGCGGCTCTGGAGGCTTCCTGGGTGTGGTCGCCCTCAGCAGGGAGGCCGAGGGAGGTGTCCGCTATGCCCAGGAGCTCCGCCCTGGCTCTCCGGCCACAGGACCTCCCTGTGCCCCAGCGTGTGACCTCAGACCCTTGCACGGTTCCCTGGCAGCCGCCCACCACGTGTCTGGGTCGGGGGGTCTTTAAAACCACAGATGTGTGAGAGCAGAGAAACCCCGTGACCTGTTCCCTGAAACTACAGAGCCTTTCATGCTGACCTTCGATGACCCCAGACCCAGGCCTCTGCCGAGCAGAGACCGTGGGGTGGGCACAGGGCAGGTGCTGGCCAGGCCACCCCCAGCTTGTCCCCGTGGGCAGAAGGCCGGAGGTCCCAGGAAAGGCCAGTGAAGCAGCCCCCCTGCAGCTCCAAACCCCAGGGACCTCCCGGGTGTGCAGAGCTGGTAGCACAGCTACGAGGCTGGCAGTGCCGTCACAGGGCCCAGACCCTCCCACTGCACAGGGACAGGCAGGGCGCAGGCTGGCCCTCACAGCTCCCCGTGGCTGTGAAGAGTGAGGCCCAGAGGCTTGGCTTCAGACGCCCCGAGTCCGTGCGGACGCTGGGCTCCCCACAGTTTGCCGCCTAAGGCGCCAACGCCTGGCGACTTGTCTGGGGCCGTGCGGGCACCACCGGAGGTGAAAGGTCAGGTGTGAGAGTGCAGAGGAGCGTGTGGGCCCGCGTCCATCTGGAGACTCTCCCCGTCAGGCTCCCCCCGCCCCGCCCCCGCCCAGCCGGGAGAGAGAAGCCCCGGGAGGCAGCCCCGTGCAGGCCCGTGCAGGCTGGCCGGCCTCACCTGGCGTTGATGAGGTACTGGGCAAGGCTGATGTTGGCCGGGGTCCCCGTGATGGTGATCTGGCGCTCTGACGACCCCTCCGTGGCATTGGCGATTTTGATCTGCGCTCCAGACATCTGTCGAATTTCATTGATTTTGGTCCCCTGGCGTCCAATTATGCAGCCTATTAGCTGGAAGAAAGGACGGAGGAGCTTCTTAGAGGAGAATCCACCGCAGCCCGTGTGCGTTGCCGAGCCGCTGGGGAAGCTCCCGGAAGCACTGCCTTGGCCCGCCCACCCCCAGCACGTCACACGCTCCAGAGGGAAGAGGCACGCCCACGCCCCTCCAGCTGGAGGATGGGAGCCGCGGGTGCCTGGCCTCTGCTTGGCCTCGACCGCAAGAAGTCCCGCCAAATCAAGACCCAGCGGCCATGCGGCCGCATCACCCGGCCCGGCGTCCTCCGTGGGCCCGAGGCCATGTTGGCCCCTCTAGGCCACGCCCCCGGGCTGGAGGGATGTATGTTTGAGTGGACACGGGAGCTGGAGAGGCCGTGTCCCCAGCCATCACCATGCCGCCCTCAGGCAGCTACCCCTCTAGGACACGTGCCCCACACCCACCCTGCTGTCTTGGTTTGGGGATCGGAGTCAACATTCTTAGGATAAACCAGGGATCCAGAGGGTGGCTGGGAGATAACTGAGTGTGTGAGGCGAGTGTGTGAGGCCCTCCGAGGGCCCATGGAGCACTTCTGGGCCACCTACTCTCAGGGCTGACCCTGAACCAGGCAGGGCCTTCAAATGGGGGCAGCCGGGGTCCCCAGGCAGCTCCGGCATCTGAATTTCGAGTCACCCCTGAAGCGCCACCAGCTGCTTCCTTGGCTGGTATCTTGGGGGTGATATCACCCACCCCCGTGGGCATTAAGCTGCTTAACCAGGGCAGGGGAGGGGAGGGGCACATACGGGCTCAGGATGGGCGGGGCCCGGCATACTCACATCATTGGGAATGGTGAGCTCGTGAGTGCTGGCGGGGGGGCTGGCGTCCAGACCTGGGCACAGTGAGGGGAGACGGTTAGGCGGGCAGAAGGCTGCTCGCGCTGCACCCGGCGCTCGGCCCCGCTGGGCCGATAGGCAGGCAGGGCCGGGGGCTGCCCAGGGGAGGGTCTGCACAGCCGGGGGCCGCGGCCTGTGAGCGCTCTGTCCCAGGCTGCCACCACCCTCCTGACCCCAGCGTCTCTCAAACAAGGAAGAGGAACCCAGCAGGATGCAGGTTCACTTTTTCGTTCTGGGCACGACATGATGTCACTTGTCTGCTGTGTTGTGTAGTCTCTCGAGACGCCCTTCACAGACACCCTGGTGGCTCCGCCTGGCGCCCCGAGAACGGGCCGCACTGGTCACGCCAGTCCTGGGTGCCCACCCTCCCGCCCCCAGACCCGACAGCAGGCCTCCTCCGCTGCCCCTGTTCCCTCCCACGCTCTGCGGACCCCGCCCCCGGGCAGCGCTTCCGGTGGGGGCAAGGAGGCCCGAGAGCCGGGCAGCGGAGGCCGTGCCTTTCCACAGGGCGTCCTGGCCTGAGACCCAGGCCCAGCTCATCACACGCCCAGCTTCTGTCTTTACAAATGTCAGCTCAGCACCCACCAAGTCAGAGCCAGCCTCTCAGGGTTCAAGGACAAGATCCACACTCACTTTGGAAACAGTGATCACAAAACGCCGGTGGGATGTGAGGGGCCCAGAGGGGACGCAGCGTCTGCCCTCGCGGGTGAACACTGGGGCAGACACACTCCTGTGTACGAGGCGCTTCCATCCCGTCAGGAGGCGTCTCAAACTCAAAGCCCACAGCCGTGACCCCGCTCTTCCTGCCCCAGACCCGTGTGTCCCAGTGTCGTGGGTCCCGCAGCTCAGCCCAGACCCGGAGCCCCCAGCTCCACCCACCTTCCGCGTGGCACATTATCGCAGACCCGGCTCACGCACCTTCGGAATATTCCGGAACCAGAGCCCTCTTCCCACCCCACGCTCCTCCCTCCCTGGCCCCTGCCCCTCAGGCTAATCCCCACAAGGCCCCGAGGGGTCCCAACAAAGGCGACTGCCCGGCCCCCGGCCCCACAGGCATCCTCCTCCATGGCCCGTGTGTCCCCGGAACCGGATGTGCCGTGGCCATCGGTGTCGAGGACACAGGGACCCGGTGAGACCGGGCCTGTTCTGGGGCCCGCGGAGCACGGGGCTCAGCTATGCTGAACAAACTAACTCACCCCAGACCATCCATCATTTTTCTGTTTCACAGCTAAACCTGGAGTTTCTGTTCTTTATCTCTTTTCATAAAGGTATTTTCAATACAGTTACTTAGTTGTTCAACTATCTATAAACATTCAATCCTTAGTGACATTTAAAATGTCACTTAAGAGATCTCCTTGGTCCCAAGTCCCGTGCGGTGCCTCCTGGTTTGGGTGACACAGCTGGGGGGTCACACGTGTTCACCTATAGCTTATGATGTTTGATCAGGGGGCTTCTTTTAAAAGGGGCCAAAGTCACGCCCACTGGTGAGCTTCCCATGAGTCACGAATGCTGCTTCCCCCACACAAAGGCCAGCTGCCTGGGAAGCGGCGTGGCGTGGCCTTCAGGGTGAGGACGCGACCACCGCCCGGCCTCCCTGACCCGCGGCCATGGCGGGAGCGTGCACGTGCACGTGCAAGTGTGGTGTGTGAGCGCTCTGGGTCCCACGGGGCCTTGGAGAGGGAGGTCGTCACGGGGGCATGTGAACACGGGTCCCACGTCCCCGAGGCTGTGCTGGGAGGGCCGTGTCGGGGTGGGGTGGGGGCTGTGTGTCCCAGGTAAGCCCGGTGCTTGGAGTCCCCAGGTCGTCTCCTGGAGACGATGGCTGGGCAATTATCTGCAGTCACGTTATAAACTGTTCAGACACCCAAACATGTGTTATCACCAGACACATAACTTTGTAAAGGTTGGTATCCAGTTCCAAAATCAGAAACATTCTATAAATGCTCTTCTCTAGTTTTCACTCGTTCAATTCTGCATTAACTTAAAGGCTGCGCCGAGAAGCCCACAGTGAGCGCATGAAGCATCAGAGCTGGGGTCCCAGCTGGAGAGACGCCTCCTGAGCCCCGTGGTCTCAGCTGGGCCCACGTGGTCCTGAGGGATGGGTGAGGGGCGGAGGCACCCTGAGGCCCGGAACACACCAGTGGGGGTGACAGCTACGACCGCTGCACACAGGCCTCTCCCGCATTTCCCCTTTAGCCGGCACTCGCTCTTCTGCTCTGATCCAGGCTTTCACGAGGCCCGTGTGGGTGGGGATGGGAGCGTGGGGCCGCCTCCCTCCCAGGGAACCTGGCAGGTCCGGGCCACATGCCTCCAGGGGCTTTGCTCCCCAATGGCCTGTGAGCGGGCCGCGCCCACTGCTCCAAGCCTGGGTGACAGGACCTGCGGATCCACGCCCTGCCCTGTCCGGGGGGTGTTTTAGTGCAAATCCAGGCCACAGTGATCTCATCTCCCATGAAACACACTTCTGGAAGGCACACAGCGTGGTCAGCCCTTCACTCCAGACCCCCACACGCTGTGCCACTGGGAGAATAAATGACACACAGGTGGGGCCTCTGGATGACAGGGCAGCTGTGCCCCGAGCCCAGTCAGAGCCGACCCACCACGCTCCCAGCAGGAACGGGGCGGAAGCTGGGAGCCGCGTGTGCAGACCTGGGGCCAGCCACTTGGGCCCCGGCCCTGGGTGGTGCCGGCGTCCCTTCCCCGAGGCGCTTGGCCAGCAGCCCCCTCGCCCCCTCCTCCCGCCAGGTCCCCTCCTGGCCTGCTTGCTCTCCCTTTAGCGTGGTTTTCTTTTACCTGACGACTGGCCCATCAGATTTTGAGCTTCTTCGGAGGAGTGTAAAGGCAGCTTTTCTCCTGGAGAGCAAAGAAGAAACAGATTTAATGTTTTGCCCTCAAGGAGAGAAGCAAGGTCACTTCAACTAGGGAAGCTCAAAGTCTGACTGGTGCGCCACTCTGAGCTACGGGGGACGCCATCCCAGGCGAGCCGCCCTGCGGGTGCACCACCTCCTGCAGGAGGGCCTCCCCGACGGCTGGTGGGCAGCAGAGAGCAGGGTGGACCCTCGAGGGGGGGGTGTCTCCTTCGGGAAGGCCAGCTGTAGGGTGACTGACCCGTCATGGAGACGCACAGAGATACCCCCGCCCACCCGCGGCAGCGTGCAGAGCGCCGCGTCCCTGGCCCTCACTCCAGAGCTGTACTTGTTCCGTTCACTGCCCTGAACACAGACCGCTCGGAAAGAGAAAGGCCCCAGGTGAGAAGAGAGGAGGTCAGAAAGGGCGGCTGGGTACGTACCGGGGAAAGCGGGGTTGGTCTGTCCGAGGGGAGGAAAGGGGGTTTGCTGCATGGCCAGCTGGTGGAGCTTGGTCAACTGCTGGGGTAGGAGGGACACGAGAGCTAAGAAGGTTATTGTCATCGAGTACAAGTCACACCAAATTAAAAACGCGTAACGGAAGTCTGCACAGATAGATAGAAAGGGGGCCATGCGACACATGGCAGACGCAGCAGCACGCAAGGACTTGGCCTGGGATAACCAAAGGGCCGTGTCGGTTGGCAGGCACACCGAGTCCTTCCCTCCCTCGGCCCCCGGCCAGGCGGGCCCCCGGGCTCCACGGGGAGGGTCTAGAGCCACGGAGCAGGACCCGCTGGGCCCCAAGTGCCTCAACGTCACGCTGTCACTCGCGGGACCCGCTCACATCGGTGGGTCGGCCCTGGGCCTGGCCCACCCCACGGCCGGCATCCTCCCCCGCAGGCCCTCACTCTACCCATGGGGCGACTTGGAGGGGCCACCTGTGGGGCCCACCGCCCGCCCCCTGCGGCCTCCAGGATTACAGGAAGCAGTGCTGGAAGGCTCCACCGAGGGAGCTGCAAGGGCCGCCAAGAGGGTGCAGGGCTCCTGTGGGGGGTCCCACGCCTATGCCCCTTCCCCCCACCCCCCGTGCCCCATCCCTTGTCACCTGCCCCTTGGCCCCCATCCCCCAGCCACTAGACATTGGTGGGGGCTTTGAAATGCAGTTTCTTTAGTTATTTTATCTGAGCTTCACTTCTTAAGTAAACACTACAAATAACAGAAGATAGGGGCTGTCTGAATGCTGGGACCCCCGGCCTTGGAGACTTCCGGGCGTGTCCTCAGCCCTGGCTCACCCACTGGCCCGGCCCACATCTCCAGCAGAGCGGAGAGAGGGCCAGGACATTCCAGGACGTGCACTCAACTCCCAACCTTCACAAAGGAAGCCCGGCCCGAATGCTTCCAGAGCCCGGAGGCCGGCATGGGGCCTCCACAGAGCCCCTGCGGCTGGCAGGTGTGGGCACCCAGGGAGCATGGAGGGCGCCCCCAGGTGAGACGAGGGTCTGACCAGTCACCACGTGGGTCCCATTCTGCAGAATGTGTCGGGGGTGGGGGCAGGTACGAGCGCTGGGATCTCCACGTCCATGGCCTTCACGGGCGAGCCCTCGGGCGACAGAGGAGTGGGTATGCTGCTGGCCTCCCAGGGGCCAGGCGCGCTCTCCTAACAAATGCCGAACACCCCTTCCCAGTACGTGGGGGATCACGGCTGCCCCACGGGGGCTCCTCCCGAGAGCCTGCCACCCCGTCACGTGTCCGGCAGGTGCGGCCGTGGGGACAGGGCTGGTGGCGCGCTGGCCGGCCAGTCCGGCCTCCTCCTGCCTCCACAGGTCGGGGTCCAGGGGCCGAGCCGTGCCCAGCCTGTGGCCTCCGGGCACATTCTCCCGGTAGAACCTCCGCTGTGCTGCTGCTGGGATGTGGGTGGGTTGTGTCTGCAGCCAAACTTTGGTGTCTCCTGGCCGCTCCTGTGGCATCTGCCAGTGTGGGGCTGCCTCTTCCCTCCCTCCCTCCCCGGAAACGGTAAGCCCTCCGTAAAAGCAGCCCTCCCCCACCCCAGGCCTCTCCCCACTCTGGGGGTGGGCCTGCTCGGAGAGAACCGGCCTCATCCCAGATTCAGGTGTCATGCCTGGCAGCTCTGGGGCGGGGACGTGGTGACCTGAGGTCAGATTCAGCTCTGAGAGTCCCCAGTGAGGGGGCGTCGGGGGCCGACAGCACACCTGCTGCCCGGCAGGTCTGCCCTGTGACTGACACCACTGAGCTAAGCGTGGCCTGAGCAGACATGCACAGAAGCCCCCTGAGAAGAGCACACCCGGGAAACACCGCTATGGGGACACCAACCCAAGTCTTGGGGACAAGAGGTGTGACGGGACCCGTACCTGCCATGCCACGGGTGAGGTGACCCCGCAGGGAAGGCGCTGAAGGGTGGGAGACCCCGCTGCGCGGCTCGGGCACCCTAGCAACGGCTCCTCTTTCCAGGGGCCCATAAGAAATGTGGCAAGGACCCATGGGCATTGGGGCATGAGGGTGTGTGTGGGGGGCACCGACTGGGTCCTGCAACCCCGCCTCCCCTGAGCACATCGTCACCCCCAATCACGGGGACACCGGGCGGCGTCTGCGCCCTGAGCCCACCTACACGGAGCGCTGGAACCGGGTCTAAGGTCTCCTCACAAGGAGGTAACACAAGTTCCTAGGATGGAGGAGGAAACCCCGTCTCTGGAGACAACAAACATCCAGTTGGCTGTCCAGAGCCCAGCCCAGGGCAGGCAGGCCACCTGCTCTGATCGTCACTGGGATTTCATGCAGACACCACACTGGTGCAGGAAGAGCCGCCTGGCGCGGGACTGGCGTCCTGGGGGTTCCAGCCCTTCACCCGGGGCCGGGGGTCAGCGGGGAGCCCGAGGGGCGGCCCTGCGGCACCTGAAGGGCTTAAGGGGCCTTGGCCAGGCTGCTCTCTGCTCCTGGTCTGCGATGTTACCCCCGTCACATGCTTATGTGTCCGACGGCCGGGCTGGCATGGTCCCCATGAGGGCAGGGCCCTCTCCTATGTGTCCCCGAGTCTCCAAGAGTGCACTGCTGTGCGTTGGTCGAGATGGCAGGGGAGAGCGGGGCTCTGGGGGCGGGAGAACTGGTCGGAGTCGCCTCCAACACTGATCAGCTTTGGAGAGATGGGCACATCTGGTCTCCGTGGGCCTCGTGCCCCTGTCTGCGAGGCCCGGTGCCACGTGAGGGATGGGCAGGCTGAAGTGCTGCCCACGTGAGTTGGGGGTGAATGAATATCGCAAACCCGCGGGGCGTCCCCACCTGGCCACCCACAGCCCCTGCACCCGCGGGCGCTCCTCTGGTCTCTCCATCACCTGCTCTCAGTTAAATGGGTGAGCCCGCCGGCCACGCATGTTATAGGCACGGCCAGATAACCCGCGCGGTGGGCTCCGCTGCACCTGCAAAGTCTGGCACGCAGAAGTGCAGGGATTCAGGCCCTGACCTGTCCCACTGCAGTGGATTTGCTGCTCTGTATGAAACAGTGGCCACACCAGCAAATAGATCCCCCCTCAGGCACCCACGAATATAAAGTGACATCTCGGGAAGGACTGACCGGACGGTGGTGCCTGGAGGAGCACCCGTCCCTCGAGCGGGTGGGCGGATGGGTGTCAGCTGGCATCTCTCTGTCTGTTAAGGCTCTGGCCTTAACTTTGCCTCCATTTCTACATTTGTAAAGGAGGGTGCAGCACTAAGTGCTAAGGGGACTTCCCACTTTTCGAGATATTTCTGCCGTAAAACAAAACAAAACGAGAATCAGACTTTCTAATCTGGCCAGTGCCTACAAACCACTGCGAGGGAAGATAGGAGGGGAGGGTGGAGGGCGGAGCCAGCGGGCAGGCGTCAGTCACAGACATTTCTCCATAACTGCCTTTTCCACCGAACTCTGTGTCAGAACATAAAACATAGACAAACACTCGACAAGTCAGAAGGATTCATAAGCGCACGGCTCCACGAGTCATCAGCAGACGGACATGCCATGCGCCAGCGCTCGCATCTAGGGACGGGCCGCCTCGTGGTTTAGTCTGCGAGTCCCGTTTCCCCTTCTGTGAAATGCCTGTGTCTTTCGCCCATTTTTCTCTTGGGTTGTTTTTCGCTGATTCACGTAAACGTATGTATTTCAGATACTAATCCTATTCCAGTTATATGTGCTGAAAAGATCTTTCCCCACTCTCCTTATGGAGCCTTGAGAGAAACAGAATTTAAAGATTTTAATGTAGTTGAATTCATCACTATTTTCTTTATGGTTTGTGCTTCTGCTTTAGGAAATCCTTCCCTGATCTGTGAACTGAAAGATACTGTTTTCTTCTAAAAGTGCTAAATTTTTCTCTCTCGTGTTGAAGTTCTTGGTACACAAGGAGTGGGTTTTTGTTTACGTTGTAAAGACTATCCTATCAGATGTCGTCTGCGTGACTAGCTTGGTGATTCTTGGCTTTTCCTCTTTCACGTAAAATTCCAAACAGCCTGCGGGGATTTTGTGTGCGATTGTACTGCATCTGTACCTCAACCTGGAAAGATCTTTGGGGTCGTTTCCAGGAGGATCGTGTGTCTCTCCATTCACTGTGGTCTTCTGGTCTTCTTTAACTTTCAATAACGACAAGATTTTTTTTTTTTTTAATTCACCTTTTAATTATGGATTTCAATTTAATTGCTCTATGGGGAGAGAGTCATCTATCTGATTCCGATTTTTGAAAGATGCTGAGTCTTCTTTACGGTCTAGGGTGTGATCAAGCTGTGCAAACGTTCTCATGAATTCAGTGGCTGTGCTGGGGGAGTGTTCGGTGCACGTCGGTTAACTCAGGCTCACGTTGCACTGTCAGAATCTCTGTACTTGTCTACTTGGCCTTCATTGAAAGAGGTCTGTTAAGGTTCCACTGCAACATCTGTTAAATTCTCTTAATGGTTTGTTAATGTTTTCCTTTATATATGTTTGAAGCTATGTTTTAGGTGCAAACTTAAATGTTTTATCTTCTAGTGAAGCATTTATCAATAAGTAATGACTAAGTAATTTCCTGTAAAGTTTTTTTTCCCCCACTAATAATAATAATGGTGTATTGTTTCGTTGGGTTAGTATTTTCCTAGAATAGATTTTCTGTCCTTTTAATTTTTCTAGGTCCTTATTCTTTAGGTGTGTCTCTTGAAAAAAAAAACTGATATATTTTTTTGTTTCTGTTTCCTTGTCTTTTTGTTTAGCTTTTCTTAAAAAACCCTCTGACAGCCTTTGTTTTTTAACTGGAAAGTTTCTCCCGCTCTGATTACAGTTACCCACAGATGTAGATGAATTTCTGTCATCTTATTTTAATTGTCCTGATCTTCAAGGGTTTCTTTTCTTTTTTTCATTCCCTTCCTTTTGTGCTGATTAATCTTTTCCTGCCACCCGCTTTCCCCTCCGTACCTTTTTGGAAGTTATGAAAGTGAACGTGTTTCTGATAGTCACCACTTTGAAATTTTAACACGTACATTTAGTCTTTTTTTTTTTTTTTTTGCAGTACGCGGGCCTCTCACTGCTGTGGCCTCTCCCGCTGCGGAGCACAGGCTCCGGACGTGCAGGCTCAGCAGCCATGGCTCACGGGCCCAGCCACTCCGCGGCATGTGGGATCTTCCCGGACCGGGGCACGAACCCGTGTCCCCTGCATCGGCAGGCGGACTCTCAACCACTGCGCCACCAGGGAAGCCCCATTTAGTCTTAATTCAATATCTTTGCCTTCCTCCTGAACGATACAATGACCTACAGGATGTTTTAATCCCCTCAGCCACATCCTAATCTTATGTATGCTGTCGGTGCCCATTTAGCTCTGTTATGTTAATCCCAGCAATTAGATAGCATTGATTTTGATTTTAAAAAGTTTGTTTTCATTGACCCAAATGTTTAAATTTTAATGTAGTCAAAAATATCAATGTTTTCTTTATGATTTGTGCTTATGTTAAGGAGAGAAATGGTAATTTTTTTTGCTCACCATTCTTTCTTGCATTTATAGCCTTCCTTCTGGGATCATTCTCCTTCTACTGACCGGCGTCCCTTAGAAGGTCACAGTTGTTTGTCTGAAAACGTCTGTAACTTGGGAGATCCTCTGGAGGTTGCATTTTAGGTTGACAGTTGTTTTCTTTTCTTTTGCCACCACAATTGCTCCTTTATAATACGCCTTCTCTCTCTCCTCTCGGAAGATTCACTTCTGGTCTTTGGTGTCACGCGGCTTTACTTGGACGGCGTCTAAAATGGATTTTGTTTGATCGAGTTGGGGATTTCTTGGGATTCCTGAATGTGAGGTTTTTTTGTTTATTGATTCTGAGAAATTCTCTGTGCTCATCTCTTAGAAGCTTCCCTCCCTCCATCCTATCCACTAACCCTGGGACTTCAACTGGATCTGTGTTCTCCCTTCTCAGTCCTCCTTATCGGTGTTTCTCAGACTTTCCGTGCAAACAAGTTACCCAGGGTCTTGTGAAAATGCAGATTCTGATTCTGGGAGGGGCGGGCTGAGGGCCGTGCCACTGAAGAGCTCAGCTCCGAGGAGAGGGTGTGCAACCCCGGGGAGGGGGCGGGGGCAAGAGTTAACCTGCCCCTGTTTCCTGCTCTGCGGGAGGTGAGGCCGGGGCGCCTCCCTGCCACTCTGAGCTGCGAAAGGAGAGGATTGAAGATTGTCGGATCTTGGAAGAACAAAGAGCCAGGGGTGCAGGCGTGGCGGGGTGGCCGTGCAGGGCTCTCACCAGAAGATGCTAGGAGCAGCCTCAATGGCGCCTCCCTGTGGGCTCCCGGAGGGGGACACCAAGGAGGTGGGCGGGGAAGGCACTCCATCCCCGGCTGTGTCCACTGTGAGCAGAGCCCCAGGGACCACCGTCTGCACGGGATCTAGCTGTGCGCTCCCACTGGTTTCTTCTACTTACTGTGACTCACTCGTTCCCAGTTTCCCCACTGCTAACTCTCTAAGTGACGAGCTTCCCGGCTAACACGGCGCCCATCTACCCCCAGATACTCAACACCCTCTGCTGGGACCCAGCGTCGCGGGGACCGACAGCTCCGCTGCTCCTAGCCCCCAGCTCTGGCGAGGGCCCCTCGAAAGCCCAAGTCCAGGCTCCAAGGGAGGCCGCCGGCCCAGCTGGCTTCTGGTCTCGATTCTGCTCGCTTCCAGCACTCCTTTCATGAGGGGATGCTAAGTAAGGGAGTGACTTGGAAACTTTAAAGAGTAGAAATAAGATTCACACGTGAGGGCGTGCCTGACGTTGACTGATTTCTCCCAGAAGAAACCAATTTCTTCCTGGTGTAATCAGTACAGGGACAGAAAGAGCGGAGGTGGGAGAGAGCGGTGGTGGCCATGCTGTGTCTGTCCAGGCTTCGCATCTGCTCCTGCGTCCTGAGTTGTGGCCACCATGGTCCTTCCTCGTGTCTGAAACTACACCCGACCCCTCGGGCAGGACCCGTGGGCGGCCGTCCTGGAGCATTCTGGCCACAAGCCGTGACCAAGGCCTGCAGCTGCGACAGGCCCAGTCATGCAACAGTCCTTGGCTTCTCCGAATGCCCAAGAGCTATGAGCTTCCAGAAGGATTCCGGTAAAACAAGGGCCGAGGCAGGCGAGAACCTGGAGGGAGACTGGTGAGGGTGGGGCCCTGATTCCTACGTGGGTTAAACCAGAAAGCAGGAAAAACTGCGCACATTTTAGCTCTAGATGAAGAAATGCTCAGCTCTAAGAAATGTATTTTCTCAAAGTCTGTGCCTGACTTAGGAAGGAATTAGCGGCTGAGATGACAGTGGGGTGTGTGTCAGCCACTGGGGTTGAAATATTCAAATGGTGTATTCAGTTACCTTATAAAATAAATTAGTACTTCCTGTAATTATTATATTTGCATTCTAAGAAATGAAGCTTTTAAAAAATTCCTACTGAATATTAAGCTCAGATAAAAGTGCCTTCCTGGCCGTGGTCACTCGTCACCACTTTATTTTGTTTTGAACGATTCTTAGTGATGGTCCAAGCCTTCAACTTTGCATTCCTGCAAGGAAAGCATTTATCAAAGTCCTGCTCTTCTGTCCTAACAGTTGCTCCGTCACACGTGCGGCCTGGGGAATGCAGGGTCCTTCACAAAAGCCCTTTCACCATAAAAAACCAAGTGTTTCAAATCTCTGTCAAACTCAATGAGGCAACCATGTAATAGCTAGCTATAAATTAGTTTAAAATCCGAAAAAAAATTGAAACTACCCATTTTTCAGAGATACTGAGACAATCACACGGAAAGAGCAAAACAACCAATTGATTTGAAAACCAACCAACCAAACCAGTCAAAGTCCCCCGGCCTCGCTCGGTGCGTGTGCCCTGGCCTAGGGAATCCAGACCAGGAATTCAGGCCTGCAGCGCAGAGGCCTCGGGCAGCAGGGAAGCAGGTCTGCCATGGGCTGCGGGCCGGAGCCTCACCTCACTGCTCTGGGTGAACCGCCCCTCGTGGCCCAGCCCACCAAGTGTGCCGAGTCCCGAGTCTGCTTTTGCACAGATGCTTTTCCAAAGGCACAAGGCCACCAGCCACGGGGAGCGAAGGCCGTGCCGCCCTGGAAACCGGCTTCTCCTCCGATCTCCGTCACGCCACGCGGGCGCTCTACTGGGGTCCACGGAACCCACACGCCACGGTGCCCGTCCCGACCCCACCAGTGCTATGCTTTGCTCACTCCACATGGGTGACGGGCTCCCTCCCCGGGTTCCAGCACCTGCCGTGCCCTGGGTCACAGCCAACTGTCATGCGGGATGGGGAGGGCAGGCGTCCCCCATGTGGCTCAGGACGGCCCCCAGCCCCGTCTCCACCAGCTTCCTCTGACTTTTGATTCATGTGTGTTGCGTAATGAGGATTTTTTTAAAAAGGAAAAGCCGTTGGTTTTTCTTTTCTATTCAATAGAAATGTCCTGCAATGATAGTGAATTGAATCTCACATGTACGCAGTGTCGGTGAATTCTCATAACTCTCCCTGCCCTGACTTTACGTCTTAAGGCGGCCGGCTCTTCACCTGCCAGTTCAAAAGTGTGAGCGGCTGCACAAGATGGGCGGGCATCGCTGTCACCTGCAGTCCCTCTGCCTGGACAGAGCCCGCCCCCCACTGGCTCTCCGAGAGCAGCGCACGTGGACCCGCCTTCCCAGGACAGAGGACACTTCTTGGGTCGGACCTCAGCTTGCCGTGCCTGCGGCTGTGGCACACAAACCCACCCACCTCTTCCGTCTCTTCCCTGCACCCCGCTGCCCGGGCCAGCAGCGCAGGCCTCGCGGCCCAGCCTATCTACAGCCCTGTGGCCTGCGGCTCCCCTGCAGTGTGCTCGGGGCGTCCAGTCCTCCAGCAGCAACACTGCGCTCAGACTGGAACCCAGTCCGGAGCGGCCCTGGGCGTGGAGCGCGTCCTAACGCTAGAACAGAGCCTCGTCTGCCGCACGGGCTCCCAACAGCCGGGATCTCGTGCATGCACGGACCCTGCTCCGACTGGGGCCTGAAAGGGAGCATGTAGCTTCAGCAGTTGTTCAAAGCCCATCCAAGGTATCCTGGCAGCCCTGCTCATGACACATCACCTGCCTGCTCAGGTGCCCATGGGGCCCAAGCTGTCCCCGCCCGCCAGGGCAGGCGCCGGGGACAGAGCAGGCCCGTGGCCCCCGCCCGAGGCCCCACGTGCGCAGGAATAGCCGGGACTGCAGCCACAATCAAGACAATTGGACGTCAGGCCAAGTCCTCCACAGGAGCAGAATCAGTGCTAAGAGACTAAAGGTTACTCAGGGCCATATGGATAGGACACAGGTCAGGAACACTGAGAACAGTATTAATATTATGGTGTAATATTAATATTAGTAGCGATGGACAGCGGCATGCAGGTAGGAGGGAAGTGGAGACGAGAAGAGAGGTGAAGGGACAGAGTAAAAACTCACATCTGGGTGGGGGATGGCGTACTGTCCCTGGATCGTGTAGGCCTGGAGAGAGAGAGACACCGTCAGCTCGAGAAGCGGCAGCCATGTGTCCCCCACCGCGGCCTCCCCTGCGGGACGAGGGCCCTCCTCGGGAAGGGCTTTCCTGCAAGCAGGCCCCGGGCCCTCTGGTTAAGGCCTTCCCCCTTCACGTAGGAGAGGCGACACTCCCAGGGCCCGGGGTGCAGAGACTGGGGGCAGGGTCCTGGCATCGAGCCTCCCCCCTGGTCCCTCGGTGGCTGGAGCTACAACCAGACACATGGCGGGGCGAGGGGGGGGGAGGGGAAGGGCCAGGCAGCCGGCTTCCGACTCTCACTCCCTTGCCCCTCAGCTGGCAGTATCTAAGAACGAGCTGGTGACCCTCGCTATGAGTCACTGATTATTAACCCTTTGAGAATTTAAGCGGCTATCAGAGTAAACACTTTCAGGACATATTTACTCCAAGAAACCCAAACAACAAAAGAGAAAACTTTAAAAGTTGACTCAAAACCAATTTTGGGAAGGCCAGATTAAGTAAGAAACGCACCCAAATGAGCCACAGGTTGGCCGATCGCCCTCCAGCCTCGGAGGACGGGCGGCCGTTGTGACCCGGGGGCAGCACGCTCTTGGCGCAGCTCCCAGAGGGGGCTTGTTTTGCCTTCACCGTGTCACTTGCCTTCAAGACAGTGACTCGGAGTAGCCGCAGCGTGTGTGTGGGCCCCGAAGCCTCTCCCACCGCCCGCCCCGCCTGCCTCAACAGTCCCTCAGCCAAGATGCTTCCAGAAACTCACAGCCAAAAAACAAACAAACCACACAGAGTCGAGGGAGAGTAAAGACAAAGACTTGCCACTGGGACTCCGTGACGTGGAACGTGCGGCACCAGCCACGCTAGGCCTGCAGGTGGGGCAGGTGCAGAGCCCCCGTCTGGGGGAGGCCCGGGCACCTCGTGGGGAAGGAAAGGAACCTGACCAGAAACAGCACGCATCGGGGAGGCTGTGCGTGCTCGGGGCCGTGGGACGCCACCAGGCACTGCGCCAACGTGTCCCCGAGCATGACAGGCCCTGGGACAGTGCCGCCATGTGCTCCCCGACTGGCCGTTCTTTATCCCAGACACTTTCAGTTTCTGACTTATCTTTTCATCACTCGGGTGTTATGGTTTCTAGTTCTACTGGAAGTGCACGGACCGCCTACCATCGTCTCAGGGCAGAGGTACAGACAGACGACAGGTCACAGGTTCCGTCTGGATGAAATCTTTATGGACCGAAACTGCTGGGATGGCAAGAAGTGCCTCTCGGCAGCAGGGGCGTGCGGGCATCTTCCCAGGGACGGGGGAGGCGGGAGGCTCTGAAGCCTGGGTGCGCAGCGCATCCTGCACGCGGGCAGGGAGGGCCCGGGGCCTGGTACAGTGACCCCTCTGCCCGCTACCTGCAGCGCTGCGGTGACCCTCCTGTGACTCTGTCCCCCACCGACGACCAACACTAGTCAGTCGCTGGCCACACTACCTGTCCCTGGGGCGCAGGCGCTGGGTTAAGGTGCTGAGCCCCTGTGAAGCCCACGGCGGCGGGGCCCTCGCTGTCCTGACTGGGGGATGGGCGATGCCCTGCTTTGCTGGCCGGGGCGGGGCTGGGATGGGCCCGGGAGGCTGCCAGGCTCTGCCTCATGTTAACATGCCTCCCCTCTGAATAAAGCCAGCGCTTCTCCGTGTGGAATCATCGCGGGCTTGCTTGCTGGGGCTGAGGCCACGCAGGTAACTCACCTGCCGCTGATCACGGATGCACGGCAGGAAAGGAGCTCTGAACGCGGCGGGCCGTCTGCGGCTGGCCTGAACCACGGGGCCCATGCCCCCTCCCCCCGGGGATTCGCCACAAACGCTGCCGCAGGAGCTCAGACCCTGCCCTCACCTCACGGGGCTCAGTGGGAGAGAAACCGGACAAGGTTCTTTTACAGAGCAGAGAAAAACGTGGAGAGTTTGCATTTGCCTCTTTTCCTTCTCGGCCCTCCCGTCCTGGGTCATCTGGGAAGTCTCTGTCTTAACTCTCCCTTGAACAAGGCACACAGCACTGCCACCTGGACGCAGAGCTTCTCCTGGCACACTGGCCTGGCCTTTGCAAAGTCCCTCAACCGTGGCTGCCGTGACCCTGCTGTGAAGGGACAAAGCGAGCTCCTGGCGGACGCCTCTGAGCCCGGTGCCCAAGGGCAGAAGACAGGGCACGGCCCCCCTGTCGGCCCCTCCAGGTCCCGCTAAGCCAATCACTGGCCTCAGACAGAAATCTCCATGACCCCTGGTTTCCAGGCCCTCCCTGGCAGGAGAGAAAGCTCAGGGGCTCCCACCAAAACAGCAGGTGTGTGAAGTGGCCACGGCCGGCCTGCTGGGCCTGCGGCCAGCGTGGGGCAGGGTGGAGAGAGAGGGTCGTCCCTGTAACGGGATGCCCAGCTGGCCTCCCCTTCATCCTTGTCTCTCCCTCACGTGCTCCTGGGGGGGAGCTCGTGTGTGGAAAGTTGGGAACGTGTATTTCAGGGGAGATGGGGCCAGTTCTCACAGTCGTAGTTGCCTCAACCAGGAGTCATAAAACCCCTGGTAACGCTCGCAGCCCTTGCTGCCTCCGAGCTTCCTAAAAACACCAGGAAGCTAGACTCGGGCGGTGCTGCCCGGCTGAGCAGGCCTGAGCCCGGACCAGGGTCCTCCTGGGCCCGGACGCCACAGGGCGTCCGCCTCGGCCCTTTCTGTCCGTGGACGCTGCCCGGTGGGTCTCTCTCGCGGTGGCCCGCATCCACCCCAGGGCCGGCTGCGTGCCGGGAGAGCTCTGCGTCCAGCGTGCGCGGGGGACACGTGCACGTGAGGAGGGAGAAAACCTGAGTGCACTAACGGGCAGCGGCGGGGGCTGCAGTAAGAGGCTGAGGTTGGCAGTGGAGGCCGAGAGCGGCTCGGCTCTTACCTGACCACCTGCAAAAATGACAGGGGTGGAGGCGGGCTTTGGGCGGTAGGGAATGGTGGCACCTTTCGGTGGGGACTAGGAAAAGGGACAGGAGAGGGAGAGAGAGCGTCAGAGCAGCTTCGCAGCGGGCAGTCGTGAGGCCTCCTTCCGACCCCCCCGCGCCCCCGCCCTCCCCAGCCCCCAGGTCCGCCAGGGACCACCGCCCTACACACAGCCGCAGCAGGAGGCGGCGGGTGGCGGGTGAGGCGGGTGGACGCGCCCCCGCCCGCGCCCGCGACCCTCCCCAGGCGCCAGCACAGGCGCCGCGTTCTGAGAGGGGCGGCCCCCTCCTTCAGTCCTCGGGAAAGAGCCCCCGGGGATTCGGTGCCAGTGCCGGGGCTTTGCGTGGCCTGGGCTGACGTTCAGTCGGCATAATCACAGGAAAGTGAGAAACATCCAACTTCACTGTTTAAGAAAAGAGCCATCATTTAATGCACCTTAGAGTCCAAATGAAATAGTCCACAGCTGTGATGCAATTCGCTACAATTTCCTTTCATTATTCTGCGTCCAAAAGTATAGGATTCATATCTTGGGGTGAACGATATTCTCAAGCACCAGAAGTCGGCCAGATTCTGATGATGTCAACCAGACCCCTTGGTCAGAAGCCATCAGGCCCTCCCCTGTCCCCTTGCCTGGGTGACCGTCTTCCCTGGGAGCAAAGTCCACAGGGCTGGGCCTGGGCTGTTGTCGGGAGTCCTGAGTCAGCAGCACCACCAGCCAGAGACAGAACTTAGGGACCAGGGTGGCCTGTCTTTGCTGGGACTTCCTGCGGCCATTGCCCACCCAGGCCCAGCCACCAGGCAGTGTGACCTCAGAGTGACCCAACCCAAGACACACACAGGGAGGTGGGGACAGCAGAGGGGTTGGCAGCTTCAACTCTCAGCCCAGGCCATATCATGCGACCTTGTCCATGCTGCGTGCCCTTGAACACACTGTGTGACCTTGGATGTGTGCTGGGTGACCTTGAACACAGTGTGACCTTGGCCTGCTGTGTGACCTTGTGGAGAGCAAGAGGGGCTGCTTCGAGGGCCCGTGTGCTGACCGCGTGTGGGTGAGGCTGGGATCCTGTCCTCCCGTCTCCGGCTCGTCTGAGGTCGTGTCCAGGCGCCTCTGCAGCGGGGTTCTCTGTGGTCTCAGGGCGATTAGGGGTCACTGGGCAGGAAGCGTGACTACCCTGAGTGACCGTTTCCGCTGCGAAAGGAGGACTCGGTCCGCTGCGAAAGGAGGACTCTGCTGCTGACCCCACTCCATCCCTGAGCTGGGGGGTGGGCTCCCCACTTCTCAGCCTCAACTGTCACCTTGCTCCATGGTGCACTCCGACCCCGCCGACGGCAGCGCCCGCCCTCCGCTGGCCCTGATGGCCATGACGCCCGGTTCCCTTCGAGCTGACCTCTGGTGGAGGGAGGCCTTCTGAGCACATGCCCCCCCACCCAGGGCTGCGGGCCCGACCCTCACGTTCTCCACCGATCCGCCACTCCTCGAGCAGCCCCTCCCTCCTTCGGTAGTGATTTCATGGGCGGAGCCCCCCACCCCAGAGGCCGAAACTCCAGTCACTCTTCATTTAACATCGGACCAGGGGCTCCTAGCTGCGGTGACGCTTCCTCCCCCATAAGTGGCTGCTCCGGCCTCCGGGGGCTTCGTGACACCAACGGCAGGAGGCTTCGTCCCCGTCCCTCGAGGACCGATCACGCCTGCCCGTGTGCTTCAGCGTTCACCGTTTCACAGCCCTGGGGGCACCAGCGCCCCACAGCCAACGGGGTCAAGCTCTCCTGTGGGGTCACGTCTGACCACAAACGTGGCACAAGCCAGGCCACGTGGGAGGGGTCCTGAGGAGCCCACACGTCCTGTTCTGACCTCGTCGGGGACACCAGAGGCGGCGTCCCTCCTGGAGCGGTTCATGTCACCCCGCCTCGCCCGGGCACCGCCGCCCACCAGGCCGCTTGGGCATCTGCCACACTAGGGGTGCCGGGCCCTGCTTGCTACCCACCCTCACGGCCCCTCGCGGTCCCAGCGCCGGGACTGAAGAGAACACAGATCCTCACCGTGACCAGCGTGTGGGGAGAGCTTCAGAACAAAATATCTAGAAAAATATTTTTGATTTTCCAGCATCATACTTCAGGAAAATAAAAGCGCTACAAATTTTTTTCTAAGGAGTTGGACATGGTGCTTTAACACCAAGTCAAGTACAAAAGAGGGAGAGCCCACCGCTGCCCCCGCCCCGAGGCTAATTCCTGCAGGAGACTGCTGTCACCTCAGGCAGACCCTCCGGCAAGGGCTCCGGGCACGGGGAGGGGGGGGGGGGGGGGGGGGGGGGGGAGGGGGGGAGGGCCCAGGGGGCCGGGCCACCAGCACAGGTATTGAAACCTTTCGTTTGAGGCAGGATGACTTCATTTTAGCTTAAGAAAGACCAGCAAGTATTATTGATAGCTTCAATTAATCTTGCAGCAGTTTGGGTATTGATTGAAACTTCAATCTTGGGTTTTTCTTCCCTCAGATTTTCAAGAGAGGCTTTTCCTGCTCAGCTGTGCCTTCCTTGCTTCTCCTTTGGTTAATCCTTATGTTTACTTCTTTCTGTCTTCAAAGTTGGGGCGTTTTCGTGTGCTTTTCCTAAGTCCTGCCCATTGTACCTCGGCGGCGTCTCTGATGCCCGCAGGCTGGGCCCACGCAGTGGGGTCCTGTCCACGGCGTGGGCCTCTTCACTCCATCTGCATCTCCAGCCCAGACCTGGCCCCAGGGCACACCTGCACCACTTTTAAGGACTGACCCTTTGCTGAACGACCCTCACACCACGGACTGCTAACCCTTTATCCAACTCCAGAAATGCGGGGAGGGGCTCACGCTCCCCACGTTCTCCGTTCGCCCCCTAGGTCCCCAGTGAAGACGACCGACCCACCCGAGGTGGCAGGAGCCTGCACCCCAGCACAGCTCTCACTCAGGCCATCCCTGAGGCCCGCCCTCACGCGGCCCTGACCACATGAAGCCTCAGGGCCCCGAGGCCTCCGGCGCTCAGAAGCCCCGGCCGGCACGGAGTGAGGGGCAGGCTGGCGAGGAGCCCTGGACTTGTGGACAGACTGTACCTCCAGCATGACCACACAGATCTGCTTGACACACTGGATGATGGCGTCGGGGGTCCCCGAGATGGTCACTGCCCGCTCCGTGGAGTTGGGCAGCATGTCCCCGGCCACCTGGACCTGGGCACCTGTGGACTGGAGAGACCAGGCGTCGGAAGGGACCCCACCGAGCGGGGCAGTGTGCACTGCAGCGGCACTTCCTGGGTGCCCCCGGGGGCGTCCAGGGCACAGCACGCCTTGGGACACCCCCCGACACTGCCCCAGGTCACCCCCCCATGCCCTCTGCACGCTCCGTCTGGAGCCCCCGGGGCAGCCCCATCCAGCTCAGCCCGCCGCTGCCAGGGCGCCGCGGACCTGGGGCAGGGCGGGCGACACTGGGTGCGGAGCGGCATCTCAGGAGGCAGGGTTGTTTTCAAATGTGTGGAATTCTCTCTCTCTGTGGAGTCTGAGGTCACAGAGGGAGACGGATCCCAGTCACAGGGCCTAAAGCGAGTGGCCGTCTTTCCTGGAAGGAGTCAAGCCCGGGGGCTGCCATCCTTTGGGGAAGGGAAGGCCTCGGGCTTTCCTTGGGAGAGGAACTTGTGAAGGTAAGGTGGGCCCCTCAGGCAAGCCCCACCCCAGCTGGGACGGCTCAGCGACTCTCAGGAAACGGGGCCTGGCAGTGGGAGCAGGGGCCTCCTGGGGAGCAGAGCCCGTGCCCTGGAGCCCAGGACTGTGTGGAGGGGTGCCTCGGCCACGTCCCGGGAGTCAGGCCTGGGCTCCTCTGCGTGACGCCCACAGCGGGGGCTCCCACGGCCGCTCTGCCTCGTGGCTCGTCCCTCCCCTGCCGCAAGCTCTGTGCTGCAGGGTCTGCAGGGACCCGGCTAGTGCTCTGCCCTAGGGACATCCTGACCGCCCACGCTCGGCTCCCGGGTGGGGAGGGCTCGTTACCTCCCTGATCTCCTTGATCTTGGAGCCGCCTTTGCCGATCAGGGACCCGCACTGGCTGGCGGGGACCACCAACCTCAGCGTCACCGGGGGCTTGCTGGTGGCCGGGCTGTTGGTCATGCAGTTAATGATGTCCTGGGGAGGGAGAGGCACGTGCGTCGGCCGCAAGAGCCTAGCAGGCTCCCTGTCAGGGGTGGGGGAGACGAGGACGAGGGGGAGGCAGAAGCACGATGGCAAACAGCTGAGGGTGAACAGCAGGAGGACACGGTGGCCGGGCTGGGCTGCTCACAGGGGCTGCGAGGCCGGGCCAGCCTCAGGGGACGAGGTGGGGGGCGGCTGGAGAACACAAGGGGACCCCCAGGCGTGCACGTCTGTGCAGTCGCGCTGCTGCCGCAGGGTGGGGCGCAGACGCCCAGGGTGCCTGGACTCAGGGTCCGCCCTCTGTCCCTAAGGCCTGGCGGGCAGAGAGGGGCTTGGACAGAGGGGGATCCATTTGACAGAAGGACCTACTCCCCGGCTTGATCACCCTTCCAGTAAAGACACGAAATGCATCTCCGATAACTTCCAGCAATTTCAGAAATCTCGGAAACACATAAAAAGCTTAAGGTTGGTCTCTGACAGACGCACACAAAGGCGCACAGACACACAAATGCGCGTAGGTGTCCCGGGCCTGGCTCTCCCTGTGTCCGTCCACATCCGAGCCAAGCTAAACACACTGGGGGTCAGCTGCTGTGGACAGGGCTGAGGCCTGGACGTGGCCGCCTCACTGCCGGTGCCAGGCCTTCCCTGAGGACTCGTGGTCTGGGGGCAAGCCCCGAGGGACCGCTCAGTGAGGGAGGGGGGCCTTGGGGGAGGAGGGACCCTGGTCGGTCACCAGGTGGACTGGAGGGGGCAGTCCCCGGGGAGGCAGAGGGGCTGAGAGGTCCCCTCTTCCGGGATAGGGTTCCCCAGGGGCGCCCCTTACCTCCTCAAACTTGTAGGCGATCATGGCAAAGGCCTTGAAGATGGCGTCTGTCGGGCCCGTGATGGTCACGATTCTTTCTGGGCAGTTTCCTTCCGAGATGTTGATCCTTGCCCCGCTCTGGGAGGGAGATACGCAGACCCCAGAAACTGGATTAAAGCCTTGGGGCCGGCAGTAGGCTGGATCCTAGGGCCTACTGACCACCGGGGACTCGTGCAGGCTGGTGGCGCCCGAGCCTCAGCACCGATGGCCGGTCCTGTCCTACTGTGCTGGCTGTGACCCGGTCGTGACTGGGAGGGCACCTGAACTGCTGGTGTGTGCTTCGGGGCTCCGAATGGCCATCCCTCGCTCACATCCCTGCCATGTGGGGCTCCCGGCGGGTCCCGGCCGCGTGGGGCTGGGCGCAGAGCTGCTAGGAGGCCCTGGCCTCCTCCCTCCTGCCCTCCCAGAAACAGCACGCGGCTCAGGGCGCCAGCTCACCTCTTCACGCATCTTCTTCACGGTCTCTCCTTTCTGGAACAGAAGTTCAGACAAGGGAGGGGGTCACTCGGGCTTCCACCACAAGCACGCGAGGCTGGGCGCCCCAGCCCTCAAAGGTGGGCTTCAGGCCCAACATGCATGACCCCCCAGTTGGCCCGCTACCTCGCCCAGGGCACAGGCTGTGGGCTGGGCAGACCTGGCCCCAGGGACCCGATGCGGCTCCACGTTTGGCCTGGGCACCTGCTCCACGGGGCGGGTTTGCACCCGTCCCCTAGCCTCACCGCCGGCAAAGCGGGGACCAGGTCCTCGGGCGATCCCGTGAAGAACTTGTGAAAAGAAGCCTGACTCTGAGCTCTGGGGGCTCCCCCACCATTCAGGGACCACGAGGGACCAGCGAAGCCAGAGACGGTCACAAGGAATGGGGGTGCGGGGTCCTGGCCCACCTCTCTCCTACACACACCCAGCTTCCAAACCAGCCCTCACTTTCCCCAGGGGAACGTTTCTTTGAGAATGGACTCACCACCACTCAGGCCGGAGGTGGGAGACTGCTCCCAGGAATGCACGTGGGAATTGGTCCTGAGCTCTCAAACCCGGGAGGAATGACTGGCCACCAGGGCAGGTGGACAGTGGGGCTGTCCCGGGGGGTGACTCCCCAGCTCCCACAGGGCTGGAGAACGGGAAGCTCTGCGACCAGCCTCATGGGGGTGCAGCCTGAAGGTGACGGGGCAGGATTCCAGCGGGATCCCCACTGCTCGCCTGGCACGCACCGTGCGCGGCTCACCCCCTGCACAGGGCTGGTCCACACCTCACTGTGCCTCTGAGATACCCCGGTAGAGGCAGAGTTCACACAACAGTTACCTTCCTGGGACTTCCCTGGTGGTGCAGTGGTTAAGAATCCACCTGCCAATGCAGGGGACACGGGTTCGAGCCCTGGTCTGGGAAGATCCCACATGCCACGGAGCAACTAAGCCCGTGCACCACAACTACTGAGCCTGTGCTCTAGAGCCCGCGAGCCACAACTACTGAGCCCACGTGCCACAACTACTGAAGCCTGCGCGCCTAGAGCCCGTGCCCTGCAACAAGAGAAGCCACCGCTCACCGCAACTAGAGACAGCCCACGCATAGCTACGAAGACCCGAGGCAGCCAAAAAAATAAAAATAAAAAAAATAATTACCTTCCCGATGATGCTGCCAACTTCCTGTAGGAAAAGAATCACAGAAAGATGATGTCATAGAGCAGAAGGAGCATAAATCCTGTGACAGGCGCCGAGGCCGTCCAGCTTCCGAGTCATGAGTGAGGAAGGGAGACTGGACGGTCAGCAGGGAGCGGGCAGGCAGGCTGCCCTGCCTCTGACCGACAGACAGACAAAGAGAAAGGGAATGGCCAGCTGCTCCAGATAAACATGTCAACAGGTATCAGCTGCGCACTTAAGGCCTCAAGGAAACCCTGCGAGAAATGGATGAGAGAGAAAATCTCCCCCAGTGATTCTGTGACGCATAAAAATGTAGCGCTGCTATTGCTATTTGACTGTTTTTAAGAAAGGTAGAACGTTGAAAGACTCCTGAGCACACTGCCATGGTTCTAAAGCCTGGGGCCCGCAATGGCTCAGACGCGCTCCCGGCCAGGACTGCCCGTCGCAGCACCTCCCTGCCTGGGACAGACCCACAAGGCTCGGCCACGGCACCTCAGGGAGGCGTGGCCAGCCTGCTTCCAGCTGCAGAGAGCAGCTTCCACAATCAGACTCATCTTCCTTATTACAGTGAAGCCCTCAGCGATCACAGTGTCCTGGGGAAACGCCTCAGTTCTGCGAGGCCAGGAGGGCGCGTGTGCGGCAGGGGCTGTGGCAGCAAAGGGCAGCTGGGCATGGGGTGGTGGCCCCTCCGGCAGTCAGGGCGCCTCACCTCCCAGGGGCAGGGTTTGGTACTTGCTGTGGCAGCAGCTGCTGGAGGTGGGCCGTGCATCTGACCTCAGACTGTCCTCCACGGTACACACCCAGCTCCGGACAACCTTGACCAAATGCCACCCACCCTGGGAGCGGCAAAGGTGGTCAGCATCCCTCCATCACGGAAGGGGAGGCTCTAGGTGTGAGCACCAGCTTCTGGAAATCTAGGGAGAGCAGTGCCCCAGGTACTATGCCAGCCTCTACCGTCCCCTGGGTTTCTCATGGTACAAACACCAGACAGAGGAGCCAGGATGAACCCTGTGCTATTGGACTGGAATGGGGGGTGTGAACTCAGGGAGCCCAGTTTAGAGATAAATATGCAAATGTGCGCAGACATAGGTGTGTATGATTCCACGCACACCCACGCACACAAGCGCACGCGTGCGCGCACACACACAAACACATATTCCCTAGCTCTGTCTGGGGCCCACAGTAGCCCAAAAGCCGTGAGTACCCCATGTGCCCACCTCTGGGCTCTAACACCATCCCACCATCCTCCACTCAAGAGAGCTGGGTTCTCTACAGAAACGGCTGATTCCAGGACCAGCAGGAAAGTAAGGATGAGCAACAGCGGTATGCAGAGAGGATGTGCAGTCAGAACGGTGGGGCCCCCCAGGAGGACACACGCCAGCTTGGCGGGGCGACACACGCCAGCTTGGTGGGGCAACCACGCCAAGTCAGGGACCATGTGAGCATCAAAACTAATAATGACAGTGCGGGGACAGCGTGGGGACAGCGTGGGGGGTGATGTGAACAAAACAGCAAACCCTGCGTCCAGGAAGCCATGATTGAAGCAAGGGTGGCACACAGGACGTTCACGCAGCACCTAAGTACCCGCCAGCAAAGACGCCCTGATGACTGTGGAAGAGGAGTTGGGGAGATGCCCAGCAGGTGCCCCCCACCAAGTGACACCCTGAAATCTGGACTACCTGATAGGAAAGCTTCTGTGACACTCCTGCCAATGGTGAGGAAACGTCAGAAAAAGCCAAAGTGAGGGACATTCTTTCTACAAAAGAACTGGGTGGGAACTTTGCTTTCAAAGCAAAAGGCAAAGGAAGCGTGGGGAGCGCCTGTCTGAAGGGCAGCCCTGGGATGACCGGTGCACTTGAGTGGGGCCCTAGCCCCCTGGCCGGCACGTGTGCATCAGTGTTAGTGTCCTGGAGGAGAATGCCCTCGCATGTAGAAAACACACTAGGGCACAGGGGATGGGGCAGCAGGCGGCAGCTCAGTCGCGAAAGGTTCTGGGAGAAACGTCATTTGGAGTCGGAGGTTGCTTAGAATTTAAAAGCCTCATATGAAACCAAGACCCCCGCGGTGGGCGTGCCTCCCCGCCCCTGTCCCGCCCCCGTACCTCCCCTCTCCGGTGGGCGTGCGGTGGGCGTGCCTCCCCTCCCCTCCCCTGTCCCGCCCCTGTACCTTTCCGTGCATGAGCAGGCGGATGGTCAGCGTCACGTTCAGGCCACCTTCTGAGACCTTGGACTCCATCTTTCTTCCAAAATGTAGCTGGGGGTGGTGGCTCAAGGTGCCGAGGGTGCCGTGAGGAAGGACAGATGGGGCCCAGATGGTGTCACCTGGCAAGGGAAGGCACACGTCAGGTGACCGGGCCTGTACGACCGGGCCTGGGCGGGTGGGTGGGTCGGTGGGCTGCCGCCTTCAGCATCGCTGCTGGGGAAAGGCAGAGGCTTCCTGGGCACCCCAGTCAGCGCGAGGAAGGGCTGGTCCCGGCACTCAAGGTGTGGCACCTGTGGGGGCCTGGGGTACATGGCAGGGGGGTGGGCCTCGGGGAAAGCCCGCCAGCGAGTGACCTGGCATCAGTGCTGACTAACGCATGGTCCTGGGCCTCAGTGTCACCTCTGTGATGAGGGACCCCGGACCAGCTCCCTCAGCCGCTGGAGGGGAAAAGGGGTGACCAGCAAGCCTGGGGACCCCTGTGTGTCTGGGGAGTGTCTGCTCTGCTGTCACCTTGGGTCTGCCCATTTTCCGCCACGCTGGTGCCAGAATCCTCCCCTTCACCCTTAAAAAGCCAGGAGATTACAGATCTGTGTTCCCTTTATGTCTAGTCGAGATTCCCTAGTTATCCTCATTCTAAAGTGGATTCAGCCTCTGTTAACTAAACGGCCAAACAGCTGAGAGTCCCCCTTTAGAAAGTTTTCAGAAGATGCTTTACATCCCATAGCACGGGTCCGCTTATTGTATCATTTCTGCAGTGTATCGGTTCAGCACTTCGCCCTCCAGGCAACATTTAGGCTCCGTTTTAAGATTTACAGGCAAGGAATGGTCACAGTAGCGGACCTGAGGACGGCTGGAGAGCGAGGCGCGTGTGCCGGTGACTCAGCCTGACTGTGCGGAGGACAAAGACGAGAGGCCCCCGCCCAAGGTCCGCACAGGGTCCAGGCCCGAGTTCAAACGATCGGAGTGGCACCAAATAGACATGGCTCCCTGCCACGCAGACACCCTGCAGCAGCCCTGCAAAGCCCTTCCTGAGCTCAGGGTGCGTGCCAAGGCTCAGGTACCTGCACCGATGAACTGGACGGCGGGGGGGCCAGGCGGGGACGCCGCGCCTCCTTTTTAATTAGAAACATCTCCTCCAGGGTCTGGGGCCATCTGTTATGTAAATGTTTCCAGCCCACGGTGGAGAAAGTGGGTCAGCGAGCGCCAGGGGCGCTCCAGGCTGCAGGCTGTCAGCCACCATCAGTCACACGGGCCAGTGAGCGCCGGCCTGCTTCACGTGGCCACGAGTGGGCATCCCAGGCCTCCGTGGACCCTGGCCACAGAAGCATCCCCAGGGGCTGTTCAGGTCAGCCGGACTCAGTACCCCCGACCCTGAAGAACCCACCCTGAGATGGCAGGCGAGGGGCGCCGGGAAGGTGGGGGCATCCTCTGGCCATCCCGCCAGGACCCGGGACACCTCCCATCAGAGGCCACCCCAAGTGTGCTGGGCCTGCTTCCCACCTCTGTGGCTGCCAGGGAAGCTCTGCAGGAGGCAGCAGCTGCACTCCTGTGGGTACAGCCGTCCACACCCAGCCAGGCGGCCAGTTCATCAGAAAAAGCCCTCCTGAGACTCACTCCTCCCCACACTTGGTGTCCAGAAACTGGCGGATCCCTCTCGCCAGCGAGGACCCCTCCTTCTGTCCTCCTCACGCTGGGGATTTAATGTACTTTACTCCACTTGATGAGAGGAAGAGGAGAAGCAGACACGGTCCCCCGACCCACCCCATTTGTTACCAAGTCCTGACACGGGGGCAGGGTCCGCGATTTATTCCTCTTTTCTAGTGTCTTGAGGAAGAAGCTGGTGGCATGGTTGTAAAATCTTACTTTTGGCCTAATACAGTGTTAAGTTCTATAAATTTCTCTCTACATGTGGCTTTCATTGCATCCCACAAAGTTTTATATTTGTGCTTTCTGTCCACTCATTTCAAAAGACTTAATTTCTCTTTTGATTTCTTTTTTGATTCATGGGATATTTTGACGTGTGTTATCGAGTTTTCAAATATTTGGAGATTTTCTAGATAGCTTTCTTCTGTTGATTTCAAATTTAATTCCATTAAAGTTAGACAGCATATCTTGTAATACTTGAGATATTTTAAATTGATTGAGAATTGCTTATGGACCAGACGTGGTCTATCTTGTGTGACTGGGTGGGATGCTCTACAGATGTCAGGAGAGCTAGACGGCTGGGCCTGCTTTTCTGTCCGCTTATCCCAATATTGAGTAGGGATGCTGACGTCTCTGACTGTGATTGTGGATTTGTCTGTTTCTCCTGCAGTTCTATCTTTTTTTGCTTCATGTATTTTAAGCTCCATCGTTAGCATCGTAACATCTAGCATTGTTATGTTCTGTGGATGAACTGACCGCTTTACCATTATGAAAGATCCTTCTTTATCTCTGGTAATATTCTTGGCTCTGAAATCTACTTTGACATTAATACAGACACCCGACCTTACTACTGATTAGTGTTAGCATGGTGTCTCTTCTTCCACCTCTTATTTTTAATTTATTTGTGTCTTTATATTCAAAGTGAGTTTCTTGTAGGCAACATATAGTTGCCTCCAAGAAACTTTTTAATCTTTCTCGACAATCTGCCTTTTAATTGGGGGTGTTAGGACTATTCACAGTGATTGTTGATATGGTTGAGTTTAGGTCTATCATTCCACTATTTGTTTTCTGCTTTCACCATCTGTTCTTCGTTGCCCCGTGTCTATGTTTCTTCTGCCACGTTTTGGATTAACTGCATACACTTAGTGATTCCACCTTGTCTCCTTCGTTCACTTACTAGTCTCCACTCTGGGTGTTGTCACCCAGGCAGTGGCTTCAGGGCTTAGGCACAGACCTCTAACCTGACTCAGCCCGTGAGCTGTGGCGTCGCCGCCTGACGGGTGCAGGACAACCCGACAGCAGCGTGTTCTCCTTTCTCCTCTCGGCCTTTGCCCTGTTACTGCCACACATTTTAGTTCCGCCTATGTTATAGATCCTACAGTACTTTATTTTTGAAATTTAAACAGTCAATTAGGGATTGATCCCAATAAAGGGATCAATTAGGGATTGATCCCAATAAAGGGATTTGGATGATAACAAAAGTGTCTTTCATGCTCAACCATGTAGCTCTGCTATCATTTTTCTTCTACTGTGAGAATTTCCCTCAATATTTGTGTGGGGCAGGTCTGCTGGTGATGAGTTCTCTCAGCTTTGGGTGTGTCTGGACAGTCACCTTCTTTTGAAGCCTGTCTCACCTGGTGCAGGATTCCAGGTGGGCCGTGCTGCCCTTCCCTCCTCACTGCACTGTGTCCGGAGGGGTCTACGGCAGTCTCCCCTTTGTCCTCTGAACGTAACCTCCTTTTCTCTAGCATATTTAAAGGTGTTTCTCTTAATCACTGGCTCTGAGCAATTATGTTATTATGCTGTGCCTTGTGTTTTTGTTCTTGGGGCTTCACTGAACTTCTTGGATCTGCAGTCTTAGAATTTTCATCAAATTCGGAAAATTGCAGCCATTGTTTGCTCGAGCATATATTCTGCTCCCCGCGCAGGGAGGGCCTCCATCTGCAGGCATGTCAGGCTCTGCCCTCCGCCCCCGAGTCTCACTCTGTGACGTGCCATTTCTCCTCTGACTCACTGGATGGGCCGCTCTGCTGTTGACCATCCAGTGCACTTGGCATCTCGGATCCTGCAGTGTCACCCTCAGAAGCCTGGCACGGGTCCTTTTCTGTGTCATCACGTCTCCTCTGAACACACTCGACCTTCCTCTTGCTTCCTGAACACAGGCTGTACAGTCATAACGATGACATCAGTGTCCGTGTCCCCTGGTTGTATAACTGTCATCGTTTCTGGGTCGAGGGCCAGGCAGTGGAATGCAGCCCTGACACCGCGTGACAGTGACGAGAGCGCTTCCCGTGTGGGTCACAGAGTGAGTGCCGGCGGCACCTGGTCACTTCCGGGGGCAGCACAGCCAACACCCACCAGCCAAGGGTGGAGGAGATCTAGGCGCTGCCTCAGACCAACCTGAAGGCCCGGCCCGTCTCTGAGCCGCACGGCTCTTCCCGATTTCACGGGCGGGATCCTGCACGTGGCCAGGGTGCCCTCCTCGGTTCAGTCCCATCTATAAGGAAATCATCCAAATCTGACCACCCGCTGCCAGTGCACGGGAGACACAAATCCACTTCGACTGCTTTGCTCGGCTCCTCGGCTGGAGGACACGAGTCACCTCGTCCTGCTGACGCAAAGCCTGAGGCTAGAGTTAAGGGAAGGGTGGCCGCAGGGACAAGGCCCGGGATGGGAACCCGCAGCCCTCCCCCCGCAGCCCAGGCCTCACATTTGCTCTGATCTCTCCTGTGCAGAAAGCCTGCAGGCACCCTGCCACAGATCCCAGTGTCCTCAGCCGATGTCACCCAGCACCGGGAAGGGACACTCAGTCCACATCTGTGGCGTCCCGAGGAAGGACTCCGGCTGCCCTGGTGTGGGTCCTGCACTGGGGTCACCAGGGGAACCAGGGCCAGGAGCTGGCCTCAACGCCCAGGCAGGGCAGAAGCAGCCACGTGCTACATCCACGTGTAAGAGAGCCCCCTGGTTTTCAAGGGCATCTGCCCCAGGATGCCAGGCTGGGGAGATCTGGGGGGATGGAGGCAGGTTTTGTGACACTGCAATCCCCTGTGTCTACATAAAACCTCGTGTCCTTCCCTCAAGGACGTTGGGGCCACAGATGGGTGTACACTCAGAGCCGAGGGGCACGTCCAGCAACACGTGTCTGCGGCCATTTCCAAGTCCTGCCGCTTGCACTTTGGTGGGGAGACTAAGGTCCAGGCGAGCGGCGGGGAGAGCGGGTCTCCCGGGGGCGCTGCGATTCCCTTGGGAGGGAAAACGGGCCGACGTGACACTAGGGGAGCAGACGGAGCCTCACATTCGCTGCGCGGCTGGTCCAGGCTGCGGAGCCCGCCTGCAGAAAAGGTCAGCCTGAGTGTGGAGGAGCCCCGCTGAGCCCGGCCGACAGTCCCCCACTCAGATCTGGGCAGGATGGGGTGGACGGCAGAATCCTGACGATTTCTAAACATACGCAGGCTTGTGTGAGTGGACTCTTCTC